TGTCTGATATAAGAATTGCAACACCTGCCTTATTTTGCTTGCTATCAGCTTGAAGTATTGTCCTCCACCCCTTCACTCTGAGCCTGTGTTTGTCCTTGGGGCTGAGACGTGTTTCCTGGAGGCAACAAATTGTTGGATCTTGTTCTTTAACCCATTTTGCCATTCTGTGTCTTTTTATTGGAGAATTCAATCCATTTACATTGAGAGTGATTATTGATGCATGTGGACTTAATGCTGTCAATATGTCGCTCATTATCTTGTTTTCCTGCATTTCTTTTCCTGTGTGCTTTAGCCTACCCCTTTAATACTGCAATTTATTATGCTGGGTTTCTTAGATTTTTCCTTATTTATGATTTGTGACTCTGTTCTGTATTTTATTTTAGTGTCTACCTTGAAGTTTGTATTTAGAATCTCGTGTATAATATAGTCTATTCTCTGGTGGTCTCTTACTTACTTGGCCTAGACTGATTTAGACCCTTTGCTCTTCCCCTCCTAAATAATTATTTTCATTTCTTACTCCAACTCGTGTTATGAATTTGTAGTTAGAGTGATAAGATTGTCCTTGCTTTGGTAGTTTCCTTACCTTTACCCTAATGCTATAGTTGAATATTTGCTAACCTGTTCTGGTTCTATCCATCGGTCTCCCTAGTCTGTGGATTGTGACCCCTTTCTCCCTTTTTTCTTTTTTCAGGTATGAGAGCCTCTTGAGGATTTCTTGTAGTGGAGGGCTTTTAGTTTCAAATTCCCTTAACTTTTGTTTGTCTGGAAAAGATTTAATTTCTCCCTCATATCTGAAGGAAATTCTTGCTGGATAGAATATTCTTGGCTGAAGATTTTTATCTTTTAAGGCTTTGACTATGTCACTCCATTCTCTCCTAGCTTGTAAGGTTTCTTTAGAGAAATCCGCTGAAAGTCTGATAGGAGCTTCTTTGTAGGTTATACTCTTCTTTTTTCTTGCTTCCTTGAGTATTCTTTCTTTATCTTTCCTTCTTGCCAATTGTACTACTATGTGCCTTGCAGTAGGTCTTTTTACATTGACAAATCTAGGAGATCTGAAAGCTTCCTCTACACGCATTTCTCCGTCAATCCCTAGATTTGGGAAGTTCTCTTCAACAATTTCGTTAAGCACACTTTCTGCTCCATTTTCCTTTTCCATATTCTCGGGAATTCCTATGATCCTTAAGTTCTTACTCCTCATTGAATCCATTATCTCTCAGAGATTTGCCTCGTTTTTTAAAATTCCTAGTTCTCTTTCTTCCTCTGTCTGGAGCCATTCAGCCTGTCTATCTTCAGTTATATTAATTTGCTCTTCTATGGTGTCTACACGGGCATCCAGGGAATCTGTATTCTGTTTTATCTGGTCCATTGTGTTTTTCTTCTCTAGTAATTCTGTTTGATTCTTCCTTATGATTTCAATCTCTTTTGTGAAATAACTCCAGAACTCATTGGCTTGTTTCTCTATCTTTCTCTCTACCTCATTGAGTTTTTTGATTATAGCTGCTCTGAACTCATTATCACTTAGTTTACCTAATTCCAAGTCCTCAGGACTTAATTCTGTGTTTTTATTGTTTTCCTTCTTGTCTGGGGCTTTTATAAATTGCTGGATGGTAGAGGAGCGTTTTTTTCGCATGGTGGTAGAATTCGGTTGCAGTTACAGCCTGTCGCCACTAGATGGGGGTCGAGAGCCACGTGTTCTGAGCTCTCCGGCTTGGAGCAAGATGGCTGTGCCCAGCGTAGTTTGCCGGGAGGGAGGGGCTGCTTTTCTCGCGCGCTGATCTGGATTCAGATCAGTTCTGTTCTCTGGTCTCCCGAGGCCCTGGGTTTATGGGGTCCCTGCAGACGGAAGCTTTCCCCCCGTCAGCGGGTTTCCACTGAACCAGCGACAGGAGTCCTGGATGATCCCCCGGTCGCGCGGCCCCTCTCCCGCTCCTTCCCGACTCACAACCCCAGACTCTAGAGGAGGGAGCCACGTTCTCTCCTACCCGTTCCAGTGCCTCCGAGGCCGTCAGCAACGTTTGCCTTCTCCGCCTTCTTGGTATTGTAGGTCTCTAACGTGTTGGTATTAGATTTATTCTCTGAAATTCAGTTTTTCCAATCTTTTGTTGTATTTTGGGGGGAGAGAATCCTGGGTCAGCTCACCCTGCCATTTTGCTCTGCCCCTTCTCCCTGGAAACGTTTTTTAATAGGTCGGATGAAAGCTACATGAGACCTCCAGGCACAATTTTTGCAACTTCCTGTGAATCTATAATTATTTCATAATAAAAGAACAGAAGTCTACCCAGGTGATTCCAAATCTAAGAACCGAAGATGAAGGGCAGTGGTTCACATATCTTGGGATGTATTAGAATCACCTGCAGGGCTTGTTAAACCAGAGCCGGAACCCCATCCCCAGAGCTTCTGATTCGGTAGGTTTGGGTTAGGGGCTGAGAATTTGAATTTCTAACAAGTACCCCAGGTATATGGATGCAGCTGGTTGTGGGGGGCAACCACACCTAGAGAGGTGGGACTGACTGAATGGTTTATCATATGTGACCTCCTCTCTTCCTAAATCCTAACTGTATCCTCTAAGAGGGTCTAGAGGCCTGGAGAATACAGTGGTGCCAGAGGCAGACCTCTCTGCACACACAGCAATGCTCATCCTCTCCAGGTTGAGGGTGGAGGTGGGTGAGCAAGCCACTGAAATGGACTCACTGATTTCAATGAGAGGATGGGGACACAGAGTGACAAGGCACCTAGCAGTCACTAGGGTTACTACAAGGGACAATCAGAAAACTGACCTGGCAGAGTCAGGCACACCGTAAGACCACACTCCAGACCAAGCAAATCCTTATCTCTGGGTGTGGCCCCCAAGCATGGGTGGTTTTCTTTTTCTTTAACTTTCCAGGTCATTCTGACATGCAGCCAAACTGGAAAATGGAGCTACAAAGAAACTTTGAGCGTGCTTAATTGATCTCAGAGTCCCTACGATTAAAAGAAATGAACAGGTTGGATCAGCAAAACATTTCCCAGGGGGCCGGCCTGGTGGCACAGCGGTTAAGTGCGCATGTTCCACTTCGGCGGCCCCAGGGTTCGCCAGTTCGGATCCCGGGTGCAGACATGGCACCGCTTGGCAAGCCATGCTGTGTGGCAGGCATCCCACATATAAAGTAGAGGAAGATGGGCACAGATGTTAGCTCAGGGCCAGTCTTCCTCAGCAAAAAAGGGGAGGATTGGCAGCAGATGTTAGCTCAGGGCTAACCTTCCTCAAAAACAAAAGCATAAACAAAAACAAAAACATTTTCCAGGTCCGGTGAAGGATGTCAGACTAAATCACCAGGATGGAGAGCCACCTCCCACTCAGCCCCACACTGCTCAGTCTGGAGTCCTAGCATGAGAAGGGAGTCCACCTACCCTGGATTAGGGACGTGAACCTGCCTCACGGAATTCCTAAGCCCGGCTCCTGAGAGGCCTGAGGGCTTCTGTAAATGGGCCATCCCTGAGGGAAGTGACAGACCCAGACCTCTGAAGACGACCAGACCCTGCCTGCCAGCTAAGCCCACCTTTCTCAGGATGTCCCAAGACCAGAATCATTGGTATCCCCTGAGAACTTCTTAAAACACAACAAGGAGAATCTGAGAAACCTTCACCGCCAAGAGGAGGCCAAGGAGATGGCAACTAAATTCATTATGGTTTCCTGGACAGGATCCTGGAACAGAACATTATGTGACAACCAAGGAAATCTCAATAAACTATGGGCCTTAATTAATCTCAGTGTATCATATTAGTTCATCAGTTGTGACAAATGTACCATATTAACACGCAAGGTTAATAACAGGGGAAATGGTGTGGGATATATGGGAATCCTGTGGATTCTATTTATTTATGTATCTTTATTATTTACTATTATTTTTTCTTCTCCTCCCTAAAGCCCCCCAGTACATAGTTGTATATTCTAGTTGTGGCTCCTTCTGGTTGTGCTATGTGGGACCCCATTTCAGGATGGCTTGAGGAGCAGTGCTATGTCCGCGCCCAGGATCCGAACCAGTGAAACCCTGGGCCGCTGAAGCTGAGCGCATGAACTTAACCACTTGGCCATGGGGCTGGCCCCAGATTTTAGAAAACTATTCTAAAACTCACTTTATCATAAAATGCAGATTCGCAGGTCCCACCCAGAGCTACTCAATCAGAAACTGAGTGTGGGTCCATCCATGTGAGGTTTAACAAAGGCTTCAGGGGGTGTGGATGGAACTAAATCAAGGAGCACTGATAATTAGCGGCTCAGAATGCTCTGTAATCCACTGGTCAAAGGGGGAATTTACGGGTTGTCAAATTTAGTAAATAAAAATATAGGATACTGGGGTAAGGAGGGATGAATAGGCAGAACACAGAGGATTTTTAGGGCAGTGAAACTATTCTGTATGATACCATATGATGGATACATGTCATTACACATTTGTCCAAGCCCATAGAATGTACAACAGCAAGAGCGACCCCTAATGTAACCTATAAGCTTTGGACGATGATGATGTGTCGACGTAGGTTCATCAATTGTAGCAAACGTCCCAGTCTGCTAGGGGATGTGGATAGTGGGGGAGGTTGTGTGTGGGCAGGGCCAGGGGTCTATGGGAAATCGCTGTACTTTCTGCTCAATTTTGCTGTGAACCAAAACTGCTCTAAAAAATAAAGTCTATTTAAAAAACACAAGATGCCCAGTGAAATTTGAATTTCAGATAAAACAACGAATTCAGAACATTATATTAAAAAACTTTGTTTATCTGAAATTCAAATTTCACTGTGTATTCTGTATTTAATCTGGCCACCCTGCTTGGATCAGCCTATTTTACAAAGAAAGAATGGGCAAGAGGTGCACAATCAGCAGCCTCAGTTTAACCACGAAATACTATTAAGAACTAACGAGACTTGCAGGCACTGAAGAAAAGCAACATAAACCAAAAAACATACAGGAAAGAAAACAATAGGGGATAATACAACAGAAAACAAAAACCAATAGGGAAGCCAAATAATTACTCAAAGATCCTTTAATTAAGATTTATAGAGCCCCCATTGTGTGCCAGAAACCTTCTAAGTGCTTAACACGTCATACATCATTTTTATAACACAGGTGACAGGTCACGGTCAATTTCCTTCTTGGGGCAGAAGGGAATCACTGGGAAATCATTTTTGAATGTGTTTTTTGGTGGCGTTTAAAAGTTCCCAGCTGACGGAAGGCACCTTGGCACTCGTGACACACATAGGGTTTGATTCCAGAGTGGGTGCGTCGGTGGACGTTGAGGTTCCCCTTGTGGGTGAAAGCTTTCTCGCAGTCTTCACATCGGTACGGCTTTTCCTTGGTGTGGATCTTCTCATGGCTGCGCAGGGTGGAGTCGTGAGTGAACTTCTTGAGACAGAGTCTACAGCAGTACGGCTTCTCGCCTGTGTGGATTCGCTGGTGAACTCGGAGGTCTGAAGCCTGCATGAAACCCTTGGGACAGATATTACATTTAAAGGGTCTCTCGCCTGTGTGTGTCCTCTGGTGAAGGTCGAACTGAGATTTATAATGAAATCTCTTATTGCATACCCTACATTCTTTCATCCATCCTGTGGCTTCTTTGCCAACAGGAAGATCGGATGATTCCACGGCGCTTGGCGAATGAACTGAATTTGACCCAAGCTGTCCTGAGAATTCTCCTTTGTCCAAATATGTGGCTCTTTCTTGAGGCATGTCTTGGGAAATGGGAGTGTTGTCCTGTTCTCTTCTTTTGGAGTTTCTCACACTCTTCTGGGAATCTACTCTATTCCCAGTCTGAGTCAAAACTTCTCTCTCTGAAATGAGGGTGGAAGGTATGTCGGCATCCACATTTTTAATAGAAGTTTCTTCTTGGGGATTCTTCCCGTCCTTGGCCCTTACAGAATCTGCTGAAAGAAGGGGTTCAACGTACAACATTTAATAAAGAGCATTTTCAACGATGCCAAACTCATTTGAACCAAACACTGATGTTGGCTGAGAACGTCCTATCCATCAACACACCTAAGAGACTGGATTGTAGGACACTCTGGAAAGTCAGTGATGGAGAAAGCTTGGCATTTTGAGAGCCACCTACCAGCACCCCCCGCCCCCCACCAAGAGATAGTAATGCTGAATACCCAGCCCTGTACCAGCATAGGAAGAGTCACTAACTCCTCTGAATTCCCAGTTTCCATACTCTCCAGGACACTTCGGAAGCTGAGGCTCTTGAGATTCACGTGTTGTTGTCTCTTCCCTGTCTTCCATCAGGTCCTCCTTCAAGTTCTGCTTGCGTCTCAGACCCTCCCGGTCATCTACCTTAGGAATGGTCTCTGGCAGGAGAACTTTCCGTCCCTGATAATGGCAACCAAGTGTAGTTACTAACAGGTCTAAATTTGGGAAAGCTTGTCCCTTCTTTCCCCATCCTACTCATCTCCCTGGTCTGAGACACCAACTTTCCTAATAACATACTTTTATGGATATGCCTAGACTTTTGGGCCACCCCATCACCCCTGATAATCATCACCTGATTCCCAAGTCTGTCGTTAATTGGCACACCTTTAAGTCAAGTCCATACATGAGTTTTTACTCTTAATTCTCTAAGCCTACTCTCTAAGTCATCCCAACTTCTCCCTGCCCCCGATTCTGGAGGTAGAATGACTGTAGGTCCAGGTCTCTGAACTCAGCACTACTGATATTTTGGTTGGATGATTCTTTACTGTGGGGGCTGTCCAGTGCATCGCAGGATGACCAGCAGCATCCCTGGTCTCTACTCACCAGATGTCAACAGCATCCCCCACCCCCACCCCATTTTGACAACCAAAAATGTCTCCAGACATTGGCAAATGTCTTCTGGGAGGCAAAATGACTCCAACTGAGAACCACTCCTTTAAGGAATTGACAATATTCCAAAAACTGGGTCCTTGGCCAATTATCATTTTAGGGAATGCCTTTGAGGAAACTGACTATGGGGAAATGAGCTTTCAGTTCATTAACCTCTGGCAAATTGACCTAGCACCATTTCATTGAGACTATTTCTTTCTCTCCAACCTTAACACTAAAAGCTGTAATGATGGAGGGACAGAGGTTAAGTCTTCATTCTTCACACTGGCTCGGCAATGTCTAGGGACTTAATGCGTCCGTGGCATTCCTAGGGTAAATGGGACCAGTTCTGTTCTGTGCCAAATATCCAGTTATTCTAGCAGCTACACCTTCTGCTTCCTCTTGTACCTCCTACCACCTCTCCCTGGAGACGAGGGAGGGCATCACACACTCACCTGCGCCGTTGACATTTCACAGATTCCTGGCTGGTTCCCCAGCTCTCGGCTGACCTGCTGATTCTTCTCTGGATGTATCTCACTCACAGAGGATTGATGCTTCCTGGACAAGTCTATCACATCGTCCATGCCACTGACCTCAGCTTCGGCCATCTGAACATCTGAATTTCGTATAAGAAATTTCTGTCCTCCTAAGCTCACTATGGTCTGTGGGGAAAAAAATAAAATAAGATCGGGCTCGATCAAAGAACCAGAATGTAGCTCTCATGCTCCCTGCATGCATCCCACTATGCACTCACACTTGGCTGGGATTACCTCCTTAAAATAGTAACCTCCCAAGTTCTAACAACCAAAAAATGTCTCCCAACATTGCCAACTTGCACCGTGGGAGGTGAAGGTGGACTCAGCCCACCCCCTTGCATGGACAACTACTGGCCTCGATCAAGATTAGGTTGTATCACCTCTGAACCGTCATAATCACATCTCTGATTTGAGTCTGGCCACAATATCTAATGTACCTGAATACCTCCCCATTTTCTCCTGCCTCCTCAGTTAGTAATCATCCCTCAAACTATGCCATCATAATGCATGCTTTGTCCATTTCCCAATCTAGGAACGTGCGACATGGTGCAATGAAATCCAACACCTTGCCAAAGGGATGCTTCAAATGTTTGGCTTTTGCATCTCACGCAGCTGGGTCTTAAGAATTTCTTTATTAAACCAGGTTAACATTCTACAATTCCTCATAGCATTTTTTCCAGTGTTGTCAAAGCTTATAATTCCCACTCTTCGCCCCTAGCGGATTTCATCATCTACCACAGAACACATGGGGAAAGGAGGAGTGCCATGTTGGACTATCTCATTTCCATCCTGTCCACTCACAAAATCACCTATAAATGAACCTATTTCCCCATGACTGGAGCAAACTGTGCACCATGTGTACACCAGGTCCCATCCCCTCCTAGATCTTTTTGAGGCTTTTTTCCCCCTCCCCTTCCTTAATTCTTTCTCCAAAGCATGTGGGCACACTCAAACCTCCATGATGAAAACTGTTCTCATTTAAGTATCACCTAATCCAGTGGTTCTTACCTGGGAGCCATTTTGACCCTATGAGACATGTGGCAACGACTGGAGATTTTTGGGTTTTGATTTTCACAACTGAGGGAGGTTGCCATTGGCATCTAATGGGTAGAGACCAGAGATGCTTCTAAACATCCTATGATGCTCAAGACAGCCCACCCAGCAAAAAATGATCTATGCCCAAATATCACCACTGTTGATTTGAGAAAGTCTGACATTGAGCAGCATCTCTAGCCTCTACCCTCCAGAAGCCAGTGGCATCCCCTCTCCTGCTCCCCACCCCCCATTGTGACAGTCAAAAATGTCCCTAGACATTGCCAAGTGTCCCCTGAGGGGCAAACTCTCTCCCATTTGAGAACGACTTTCTAGTCCAACTCCATCTTGCAGCCCCCATACCAGCTCTGCCTTTCCCACTCCACTCATGAGGGTCCTACTCACCCATTTCTTGGGTTTCATGTTATTTCTTAGCATGTCCTCCAGGTCTCTGCAACTCTCCACACCACTCTCCTTGACTAAGACCTGGAGCTCCTGCGGCATTGAGATCATAAACTGCTCCATCACCAGCTTATCCAGAATCTGCTCCTTGGTGTGAAGATCTGGCCTCAGCCACAGATGGCAGAGTTCATAGAGTCTCCTCAGATCCTGGATGGGGTCTGATTCCTCCGAGCTGGTAAACGCTCTAAAGCTAATGTGCCAAGCCTCAGAGTCACAGTCCTGCTTTTCAATCAGGGCTCTTTGGGAGTGTACAGACGGTGGCAGCCCCGATCCCCAAGGGCTATCTTGGGGTTTTCCATGACCCCAGGAAAATGTCTGGTCCATAGCCATACCTACTGGAGAATTCTCCAGTTTGACTCTGAGCAAACTCTTCAAGAAGCCAGTGCCTAATTGAGACCTATCTAAAGAGATTTATCTCCGGGTTTCCTCAGTAACAGATTGACTGTTTCTTCAGAACTCTGGAGGGGGAAAAAAAAAGAATGAACCAGATCAGTTTAATTTCTTTCTCCACCCTTCCCTCCCCTTTAAATTCCTCATCCCAATTTTGGACCCCATCCTCCACTGGTTCTATGTTTAATATTATGGAAATTAATCCATACTAGTGTTCTTCCAATATCCACCTTTATAGTAAAAGGTGGCTGAAATGACTGAATCCCCCTAGATTCTGAGCTCTAAAAGTATAGAGGTGGGGTCGTTTTCTCATCTGTAAATTGGGACAATGTTGTTCTTTACTGTATTAAATATGATTACTATGTGTAAAGCCCCTAAAAAATTGTAACGATAATGTCAAGTTTTTCTAGCCTCCCATCAGGACAAGATACAAGGCAAAGCTGTGTTAGTCATGATTCTGCAGAAAAAAATATTTACAGCCTGAGAATTCCATAGAATTAGAATGGTTAGTAACACTGGAAATATTAACCTAAGATCATCCCCGACACAGTTCCTCCTTGATCCCAGGATATCGATCTGTCCAGGGAAGGGAGGGAACAAAGGAATCCTAAGAGAATTCAGCTCCTGAACAGATCGTTTGTTACTATGGTAAAATACACATAACATAAAGTTCACCATCTTAACTCTGTTAAAGTGTGTGATTTCGTGGCACTAAGTACATTCGCAATGTTGTACAAGCGTCCCACTGTTCAGGTCCAGAACTTTTTCATCACCTCAAAAGGAAACCCCATACCCATTAAGTGGTCACTCCCCATTCTCCACCCACCTCCACCCCCCAGCCCTGGGCAATCCGTTAACCTGCTATCAGTTGCTATGGGTTACATATTCTTAATCTCATCCCAGAAAATGGATTTAAAATCCAGTGCTCTTTGAAATTTTCAGGAAAGTTTTAAGAGAAAAGTTTTTAGGAGGTCCTATATCTAGCTTCCAAAGGCAAGCACCACTTTGTGATATTCTCCAGACATCAATTTTGTCCCAAGTTCAACAGCTTTGAAAAGAATACACCCCAGCTTTCCTTCTAGCCACAGGTTGGAGATCAACCTGAAGGTCTGGGGAGAGGAGAAAGACCCAGGAGGGAGGGTCTTGGGCAAGGTTGCTGGAGAGCCAGGACGGAGACCCTAGGAGAGGTGGGGGTTCCCAGAGCTTCCTGTGTCAGGAAGGCGGGAAAGCATGCAGATATGAGAAAAGAGAGCTGGAAATCTAGGAATGAAAAGTGGTTTCATGTTACTAGACGTCTGGGAGGAGGCAGGGATTCAGCTGGGAATTTTTAATCACTTTGGGTTCCTTTCACATTAGTGCAAGCCACGGAACCTCAGAAGAAAAATTAAAGCAGGACACATTTTAGGATTCAATTCTGGGGGACTTAGCACGCCAGTGAGCGCCACGGGGCACCAAGACAGACAAACGGGCTCTGATCCTGACTGGATTAGGAGGTTGAGAGCAGGTCCTTAATTAAAGGTTTGATTGACCCTGTGGATAGTAAAAATACCATAATATTTTTAAAGTAATAGCAGGACCTGAGAAGAAATCTCCTGGGGAAAACCACATCCCATGCAGAAGAATTCAGAGGTAACCCACTTGCCTAAAATCCACAGTAGTTGAAGTTTTCCTATGTCAGATCATTTGGGGAAGCTTGCTCAGTTCTGTGGGGTTTTTTTACTTTTGTTTGTTTGTTTTTTGAGGAGATTAGCCCTGAGCTAACATCTCTTGCCAATCTACCTCTTTTGTTTTCTCCCCAAAACCCCAGTGCACAGTTGTATATGCTAGTTGTGGGTCATTCTAGCTCCTCTACAAGGGACGCCACCACAGCACGCGGGCCCAGGATCCCAACCTGCAAACCCGCAGCAACCAAAGCAGAGCAGGGACTCCACCACTCGGCCACCGGCTGGCCCCTCCGTGTTGTTTTAATTCCAGGCTCTGTCTTTGATTAGCTGTGGTGTCTTGAGCAAATCATTTAGCAATTCAGACACCTTAAAACTTCACTCTTAGATTGAAGGCAAGATAAGATGGTGCTGATAATACGCCCGGCACATTGTTGTTGGTCGTAGTGATTAATACTTAAAGCAATGGTTCTGAGCCACAGGTGACTTGTGCCCCCACTGCCCCCCACCCCCACCCTGGGGACATCTGGTGATGGCTAGAGACATCCTCGGTTGTCACATTCAGGGCATAGGGGAGGGAAGGGGCTGGAGAGAGAGATGCGGCCAAACATCCTACAACACACAGGACAACAGCAACAAAATTTATCTGGCCAAAAATGTCAATCGTGCCGCGGCTGAGAACCCCTGGTTTACACTATAAACCACACCACACCATGGGTGTGCTGACATGATTCCCATTTCACAAATGAGCTAAACAAGAAATCAGTGTTAATAACGGGGTGCGAGGGAGACCCGTGGCTTCCACGAGATCTCAGAGCTGCTGCATGGCGAGTATAAACCCACACCCCTCTGACACCAGACCCGCGCCCCCGAGTTTCTGAGGCCGCCCCGCGTGGACAGGCCCAGCTAACTTACCGCCTCGGCGTCTCCCCGCCCTCAGCCTCCCGCGCTCCGGGCCGGCCGTCCGACTGTGCCCTGAGCCCAGACGTCTCTGCTTATATAGGACCCGAGAAACTCCGGGACGCGCCTCCTGCTACCTCATCAGCCCACTGATTGGTTTAAGGCCCCGGAACCAACCATTTTAGACAATCCGCGAGGATTACGTTTCCCTCGGAAACTCCACCAAGAGAAAAAATAATTTAGAAATAGGTCCACACTGGAAACAATATTGATTTTCCTGGTCTAGTGAATTATTCATCCTATGCCTGAAATGTGCGGAGGAGTCAAGGAATGTAGATCCGCCAAGTTTTACCCAGTTTGGGCCATATCTTTTTTTTTTTTTTAACGTAAATGAGTCTGAAAAGATTTTATTTAAAATAAGCTAAGGGGCTGGCCCGTGGCGTGTTGGTTAGGTTTGTGCACTCCGCCACAGCGGCCAGGGTTTCCCAGGTTCGGATCCCAAGTGCGGACCAAACACTGCTTGTCAAGCCACGCTGTGGCTAACAGCTCAGGGTCAATCTTCCTCACACGCAAAAGAAATAAAATAAAATAAGCTGACAAGGCCAAGTATGAGAAGAATATACTTCTGAGTAGGCATTTAGAAAACTAGAGGTGTATACAAGTAGAGAAAAAGGATGACATCATATCAGTTTTGCAAGCCATATTTCTCCTAAATGCCAAAGAGAAGCAATATCTTAAGGAAGGAACACGAACTGATATCAAGTCCATGATTTAATCTAGCTCCAGCACAGTTTTGATTTAATTCCAAGATATTGAAAAAGGAAAAGTAATTATTGATACATAAAGAATATTAGTGATTTTTTAAATTTTTTTTTTTTTTTTTTTTTACTATTTTTCAATATCTTGGGATTAATATGTTAAAGCTTTGCTCGAACTAGGTTAAATCAGGGACTTGATGTTAATTAACTTACCCCTTTACAAAAACAATGGAAACCAGAGAAAAAGACTGGACACCACTCTGTGTTCCATTCCTCCCCGGGGTGGGGAAGATGGTTTGTAGACAGACTCAGGCTCCTACACGGACCTTAATTCTTGACGCCCTGAATCAGATCTTACAAATTCTGAAAGGCTAAAACGGTGGGTCTGCAGGTTATTGCGTGAATCATTGTGTTTATGTTGAATTTTAATCAAGGGCTGGGCGTGATGAGATTACCATTTTGGAAGTTCCCGGTGTCAATCAAATCATGACAAATCCATGTGTCAATCAAATCATGACAAATCCATTCCAGAGGTGGTCTCTTTGTTTCAGGTTCAGAGTAAATTTTTTTGTTTAACATTTCAGATGAACTGGAGGGCTGCTGGCCTCAGACTGATTCTGGTTTGGATCTGTGGGGAATCTTAAGCGAGCCTCTTAACGCTATGAACCTCAAATTTCTCGTAGGTAGAATGGGGGGTTATTCGATGCCTCCTGTGTGGTTTTGAAAAGTCAAGGAAGACTATGGTAGGAAAGTACCTGATACATCGTTGTTTTAGCGGAAACTGTGATGATTATTTTCTGACATTTTTCCCTCTTAACAGTTGAGATTGTGACAATGCGTTAGAGTGAATAATGGTGAAGCCAAGAATTAACTGGAACCTGCCTGGAACTGCCATCGACCTCCCCAAGTTGTCCAACTCTTCCACTTTGGAAATTCATCTCATTCTAGTTTTAGCCTTCAAATTTTCTTTTAGGCTTTATTTTTTTTAGAGCAGTTTTATGTTCATGGCACAATCACCTTTATTATTTTGATCTTAGATCTGCTATAAATCCTCAATGGAGCTAAAAATGTCTGATTTAGATAGGCCTGAGGAACTCTGGGCCCCCATTTTGTTTCAACTTAAACTATTCACATGCTCTCGGCTTAATGATTAAATTTGGAAGACATCAATTGTTTGAGCATTACTTTACTTTTTTGGGGGTAAGGGGGGAGATTAGCCCTGAGCTAACATTCGCTTCCAATCCTTCTCTTTTTGCTGAGGAAGACTGGCCCTGAGCTAACATCTGTGCCCATCGTCCTCTACTTTGTATGTGGGACGCCTGCCACAGCATGGCTTGACAAGTGGTGCGTAGGTCCGCACCTGGGATTCGAACGGGTGAACACTGGCTGCCAAAGTGGAGCGCGTGAACTTAACCACTGCACCACTGGGCTGACCCCTCTGCATTATTTTAACTATATGACTAGATCCCCAGCCAGAACACCCTCATGAAATGCCTCGAAAGCAAATCTATCCCTGGAAACACTGATCTGTCCCATTACACCTTCTTGGTTTCCATCATGTCACTAGGATTGTGTAAGATGTAATCATTAGGAGAAGCTGAGTGAAGGGTACACAGGAGCTCTCTGCACTAACTTTGACACTTCTATGAGTGTCTAGAATTATTTCAAAACAAAAAGTTTACAAAGAAACAGTAGGGCATCTGATTTCTCCTGAGAAGTGGGTTTCAGGAGAATGACCAAAACAAAAGCAATCAATGCACATCATTGCTTTTCCTAA